TTTCCGCTGCCAGTATGTTGCTCACTGAATTATTGAACTAAACGCGATTGGAGCTCCAATTTTTTATTCTGGCAAAATGAAATGATGCTGGTCTATAACACCTTGCAGTAAAAAGGCTTTAACTCCTTTTGTTTTGTGCTGAGAGTAATTAAGAGTTATAAGGCAACAAATGGAGGAAGGCCAAACTCAAAGTGTTGCAACAATGTTGGAAAGCACATATAACCTACAATTGCAAATATGTGGCCTTGCCAAAACTACCAAGAAAGCATACAGGCGGTGCAGGCAGAAGGGGTGACAAAAGCATCTGTGCATTTGTGCAGCACCTCCTTTCCCCACCTTTCAGAGGGCATGCCATCCGTGTTGCTGCTGTGTCTCCTCTGCATGGCATACCGATCATCACCACATGGTCCAGTCCTGTAAACGCACAAATCCACAGTATCATCACCAGTATGTGATTCACAGAAGTGACCAAAAATATAAACCACTTTACCTGAATTAATGCGGTGTACTGGACTACAGCTCTTGTCATGGTTGTTGTAAATGGTTAGCTAGACAGCTGCTGCTGCTGCCCAGACGATCCGCTCGGGAAACTTCCGGTGTGGCGTCACTAAGACCGCCATCTACCAATCAGCACCTTCTTTCCGACCACATTACATCCGTGCTGGGGATTTGTTTTGCTGATGCTGGATGTCAGATTTTGCTGAAAAAAAAAATCCCACCGTTTCTTCTTACTAGACATAATTTTGGACATGATCGAATTATTATCTACAGAGGAGACGAAGAAGCGTTATTAAACAGCGTCATAGCTTATTGGTTATCGCTCCTCATTATTTATCTAGCAACACCGAGAGCAGACGGCGCTAGCTAGCAGGCTAACAAAGCTGGCATTTACAGTGAAACACTTAGCTTGCATGTCCAGCGCGTAATTCGGTAGTTTCAAAACATTATATTTAAAGGTTGCTATTGTGAGTTTAAGAGTTAAAACATGGGTTAGCTAGAGTTAGCTATTTTCCGTCTATGTCCTATATTTGCATTTTTACCACCAACTGAGCTAGCTTTACATTATTTACAGTTAGCCTTTTCATATTCCTGAAAATTGAAGACAGCCAGAGAACTGCTATCCGTGGAGGTTTGATGTGTTGGGCTGTCACTTGCATTTCCCCAAAGCAAGCCATGCTATGATGGTGCTACGGCGGCTACTGAGAAAGCGCTGGGTGCTGGGAGTTGTCTTTGGACTCTCCCTCATCTACTTTCTGACCAGCACACTCAAACAGGTACAGAAACTCACACTGAGATAAGTCGATTACAGAAAAAAACATGCAAGAGGAAAAAAAGATCTAGTCACTTTCTTTTTTCTTTGCTTTGTAAAAACAAAAAAACACACTACATGCCAATTCTAAGTAGGAAACCAAACATACACGCATTAGTAGGGAGCTGTATATCCAAGCTTCTACCTTGTCCAAATAACTATTCTTCTGAATAATCACAATTTGTGGCATTATTTTTTGAAAGTGTAGCTGGGTCTAATATTACAGACTTTTACCAGCATCTAAACAATAATTTCTGCCCACTTTTTTGACAGATTTCTAAATGAAAATGTTTGTGCTTTCTGTTTTGTGTGTGTATGTGTTCCTCAAGCTTGGGTCCTCTACCAGCAGCCCGAGAATGTGAGGGCTCTGATCTTAGCTGTTCCTATGACTGCACTCTCCTGGACAGGCCTCTGATGGTCAGCCTGCAGTCTGCTGGAGCCACTATTCAATTTTGGGGTTTACAGCTCGTATCACTGGGGCCACTTGACTTTTCCTTCCACGTCTGCTTCAGTTGTTCCTTCAGCTTCTCAGTTTTCTCATGCTTTCTTTTTGAAGTTGTTGTCCCATGGGATAGAGACATTTGCAGTCTCCTGCTTTTTGTCAGCCACCACTTTCTGTGTGGCTGGCCATCAGCTTCTTCTCTATCCTGAAAGTCCCACAGGGTCTTAGCCCTACAGTTTTCAGCCAGCAGGTATTAGTAGACTTCTAAAACACATGCGCATAGATATTCTCGTACACTATCCCAGCCACTTGATAGGTCCTCTCAATGTATGTTGTCCCTTCTTGCATCTTAGATTCTGCCGCAGTGTGCTGGATAGTTCTAGGAAGCCTTTGCACAGTCTGCAGCTTGGCTTCTGTCAGCTGTGGTAGACCCCTGCCTCTATGGATCTGGTGCTTAGGGCCTATTCTTGTGATGCCATGAGCTGCCTCTGTGCTGTCTTTTAAGTCTCTAGCCACTGGTAGGATTTCTTGATGCCAGCCACTTCCTCCATCTGTTGATGGTACACCCCATGTAGGGGCTTGGTCTTGTATGATAGCTCCTCTTGTTCCTCATCACCAGCTGCCTTCAGCCAGCTGAAGACCTCATAGAGCAGCTTAACTTGGGGGCTCTCTGTCCGATGCATTAACGGAGGCTCCATGTTTCTTCCTGGATTGTGGCTCTGACACTCATTAATCCTCTTTATTCCTCTCTCTGTTGCTCATAGAGCCTCAGGGTGATGGCCTTTGGGTGGAGAACTCATCAGTGGCACCTGTGGCCCTCTCATTATTATTATTATTATTATTATTATTATTATTATTATTATTATTATTATTATCTGATGACTACCATCGAGCTGACCGTTCTGCCTCCTGGCAGCTCCACCTCTTCAGTCCAGATCACCTTTACTTTCTTTCTAACCATTCAGCCACACACTCACTCAGTCTGAATGACACCTTAATGTCTAGAGTCTCGGATTACTGCTGCACCAGTAGCTGGTGCTTTGACCCAGCTACTGGTCAACATACCCGTTATTTCCAATGCTGTGCTCATGTGCGGACTCATGTGCCTATTCAGTTTGGTTACGGTGATGCTGCGCAGGATCTTTGCTTTTCCTTGAACTGCACTTTTCTGGACAAAGATGTCGGTTTTCATTCCTGGAATCTGCTTTTTCACTGCCCAGAGTGTTCAGATCATCAAAGTGACCACTGTTCCCCTCTCCTTGTACATCTTCTCTGGCTCTTCTCTCAGCCCTTGGTATTTCTCAAGCTTCTCGTGTTTCTTCATCCTGATGTTGCTATTGCTTGGTATTGCTACTGCTGGGTATTGCTACATCGATCACTATGACCTTCTTACTCTACTTGTCTTCTACATTGTTGAAACAGTGGCTATAGTTTCTCAAAACATTACTGTTATTGACAGATATTATCTGTCAGAATAATAATATAGTGAATTTAGAATAGGGTTATATGCGCAACCATATTCTGAAATTTATGTTGCTCTTCATTAGCTTTCCATGACCCGTTTCTTGTATGTGTGCATTTTTCAGGAGGAGCGGACCATACGAGACCGAACACTCTTAGAAGTTAGAGATTCAGATCATCGCATCCCCTGGAAAGTCCGCTTTAACCTGGGGAACAGCAGCCGACAGATCACTCAGTGTAGAAATTCCATCCAGGGCAAGACACTGCTTACAGACGAACTTGGTGAGTAATAAATCTATTACTCACCACCATACAGTGATAACACATCGGATGTAGCCTGTAACCAGTGCTTATCATAATCTGCATTAATGTTTTACAGGATATGTCTGTGAGAGAAAAGACTTGCTCGTTAATGGCTGCTGTAACGTCAATGCTCCCAGCACCAGACAGTACATATGTAAAAGTTGCCTGGCCAATGGATGCTGTAGCATCTATGAGTATTGCGTGTCATGCTGTCTCCAGCCCGATAAGGTAATCTGTCACATCAAGGGCCTTCAGGATCATCGCGTTTAACTTTCATCGGAAAAGGCATATCTGCCCACATGCTGTGCACCTTTGCATGCACACATTTGAAACCAAAGATATAATTTAAAATTGCATATTGCGTTTGCATTTTAAGCAAAGCAGTGCATGCAATGGGAACAGATAATAAATCTAAGTGATTATAAATCTATACATGTTTTTGTACATGTTCAATTTCTTTTCTTTCTATTTTTGTTTAGCAACTTCTTCTTGAGCGCTTCCTGAATCGTGCAGCTGAAGGTTTCCAGAATCTTTTCACTGCTGTCGAGGATCATTTTGAGTTGTGTCTGGCCAAGTGTAGGACATCTTCACAAGTATGTTAAGTTAAACAGAAGAAACAAACATGAATTGTTAGATTTTTAAAGTGTTGACCCATACAAATCATAATAACAATAACTGTAATCATTTGGAAACAAAGGAATAGTGAAATTAGTAGTCTGGCGGATATGCAGCAACACTTACCCTTATCTCTTGACATTCAAAGTCGATATTTTGCTCATACATTTATCTGTATATTTTTCAGACAGTTGTTGACAAAAGATACGCTTTTATTTGAACTTGATGCATCACTATGACACATAATGATTTTCTCATGAATTTCCTGAGACAGTTGGTTCATTTAGAAATTTGAAAAACTCCCCAAAATAAAAATAAATAAAAAACAGAAACAAAACTGATTCTCGGCTAATCTCATTGTAAATCACTGAATCTGCACAAGCTTTGAATATTTTCAGTACTGTGAAAGTATTGAGAAGAGCAATATAAGTGCTTTGTGAAAAAACTTTTTAGTTTGTCTCATTTCTATTTTTCCCCTTCTCCAGAGCGTTCAACATGAAAACACGTACCGAAACCCTCAAGCAAAGTACTGCTATGGTGAGAGTCCTCCAGAACTTCTGCCTGTATGAGCCTATTTGACTTGCTTCTGGTGTTTAGTAATCGAAGAGCAATGGAATAGCAATTGACAAATAAGGGTGTTTGTTGAAGAGATGGCGCATATGAAATGCTTGGACAATTTTGCAATATTGTGGCAAAGAGATGAAGGAATGCAAGACCAACCTCAAAAAGGACAAAACGCTGTATGCTTTTTTTTTTTTCTTTTTTAAAATTATTTACACTTCATAAGTGCATAATACGCTTTATCCGTTCATCCGTGATGATCATCAGGTCTACTTAGCAGGCAGCTCATCCATCAACATTTGCTTCAAACAAGTCATAAAGTCATGTCATGAAATCAAACGAACCTTTCTGTTTTGTTCTGAACATTTTAAAATGGCAAAGAATGTGTCCTAACCTCTGTGTATAGTGCATGCATGCAGATGAAATGCTTATTTAATAAAAGGGACTGTGAAACTGAATGAGTTTCTGCTTTTTTCTCTCTGAATGGTGACATGTAGATTTTGTAGTAGTGTGGTTTAAATGGCAGTTTAACTCTAGCAGGTTTTATTTAACTGAAATAACAGTGGTAGATAGCAATGTCATGCATTCAAATTTTATTAAGCTTGTGGGTCTAAAGCACCAGGAAGAAAATCAAACAAGACATCATTTTGAAATAACAGCTGTTTTTATTTTTTTTTATTTTTTTTAAATTAATAGTTATGGTGAATAAATATAAGTTCCACAGAAAAGAAAGATAATGCAAGGAATTTCAGTATAAATAACAGTAAAAAAAAAATAAATCAAAATTTGATTAAAAGTTCTTGAAAATATAGAAACATTTAATATAACTTGATTGTTTTTTATGTGGAGTCCAAACTAATAGCTCTCTGTAAGTTATTGCTATCTGTTTCTTTCTACCTCAGGCAATGTAGCCCCCACACATGGGATAGTTGGTCAGAGCAAAACAATTAATCAATGTGAAGGCTGAGGAAAACAAACTGTCATAATTAGGAGATGTATTAGAGCCATTTCTCATTTTCCTGGTTGGCAAGTTGATTAATTACTGCCACAAGGGAACATGTTGATTGCTTTGAGCTATCAGGTTTGGAACAAAGACATTTCCGATAACGCTTTTATGGTAGCAACATGACGTTTTGGTAAACGGAGATATTTGCTTTATTAGAATTTGTTGAGATGGTTGTTATCATTCACACCTGTGATATCAAATGTGAAGCATCAAATAGCAGCCAGCTAGAAAAAGATCCAGCTGTTAGCGCAGCAGTACTGGGGTTTACATTTGTTAAAAGAGGTGCCGATTGGTGGATTTGGGTGATAGCAGACAAAAGCAGCGATTTTCACCTTTTTTTTGTCTGTCAGGTTTAAGCTTGGATAATTGCTTCCCCAGTTGTGCCTTACTTATGTTGTCGATTAGACATTTGCATGTACTTTCTCATTTAACATAATAAGAACAGCTCATTTTTCCAAAATGTCAAAGTACACCCTTCATAAATTTTATAAAAAAAAACCCTCTTTGGCTGTTTTAACCATGTCGGTTGTTATGTTTGTACTGAAATATCAGATATATTATAGAGAGAGACACTGTAAAGATCCTTAATGCATAACAGCATACTGAATGCATGAAAAAGTAGCATTTAAAAGTCTTGGACGGGGGTGGGGGGCTAAAGAAAAGCTGCCACAAACTATAACCGCAAACTCAGCTAAACTTGTTCATAATCAGAGCAGGTATCCACTCCCCTCCAGGTACTTATGAGGCTGGGTCTTTGTTACTTTACCTTTCCCCATTTTTGTTCCTTTAACATATGAAACAAACATTTGCTCCAGCCATACCAGGTAATCCCCGGCTGCCTTTAGCAGGGTATGACTCCACTGTTTCCTCTCAAATACTTGTTTAGGCATTTTAGGTGGTGATGGCTTTGAGGGACATGTACTTTTAAAGATGATGTTTATACAATTTGCAAGCATTTTAATCCTGGCAATGGTTTCCTCTAGCTTCTTGTGAAGTGAAACGTTTTGAGGATTCAGGTTGTTTTTCTGGTCCTCCAAGATGTCATTTAGACCTTCATACATGAAGCGCAAGCTGCAATGAACTTTTGTCCAATTAGGAGGAAAGCTCTTCTGGACGTGGAGCTCAGGGAAGCCAGGTAACCAAATACCAAAGTGTTTTCCATTGGCTTCATCCTAAAAGAAAAGACAAGAGTGAGGCGAGGAGATTTTGAAGACGTGTGTTGCTCATCCCATGAATACGCAGCTAATCTCTTAAACTGCCTCTGAAAGGTCATGCAAAGCATCTCAGCATGAATCTATACCACAGCAAAAGAAGAAACTTAACACTAGATTTAATCAAACGACGTGTTTTTAAACCCATTATATACACAAAAAATCTGTGTCTCCTGAGATTATTCAGGCAATAGAAATAACGACTTTTTTTGTCCTCACAAAAATATTCCTCCAATCCCCTACAAGGACATGTCTTGTTTATTTTGTAAGAACCAGAAAAGAATACCCAGTTAGTTTAGTTAGTTAGTTTTCTGGCTGATGCACTTTCATAGATAAAACTTGTTTAATCTACACCTGAGATGTAATTCTGTTAAAAAAAAAAAAAAAAAAAAAAGCAGACATCTTAATAGCAACAAAGTGCAATTTAATTGAAACTGCTTCAAAGAATGACTACAGAATTGCTATGGTACTGGCACTAAAAGTGTCTTAATCTGGAGTAACATACTCTAGAAATGAAGGCTGTGACACAGCACTACTCAGCAGAGCTTTGGGAGCTGCACTGTTTTTGCGAAATTTAAGTGATAGAAAAATTCAGACAACCTCCCCACAGCTATTGCATCATCCAAGCACGCTGGCAGATTGCAAATAGCGTCACAAAACCACTTCTCTGGGTTGCACTGGTGAGAAAATGAATAGTTTTAAAGTTACTTACAAAGCATCTCAAGCTTTCATTGACCAGGCTTTCGGTCAGGGCTGTCAGGTGTTTGGGACTGCACGATGCACCTGCAGCATGTTTCTTTGGTGCAAGTTGTGCATCCAAGCCGTGCATCAGAATCGCCATCCAGATACAAGCCAGTTTCAGAAAACCTGTAAACCAAGTGTACAATCACAACATTTTAAGTTTGGTGTACTTTCTCATACAAACTACTTCACATTGTTGCATGGTATACTGTACCTGCTCTATATTCTCCCATTGTAATTCTCCTCATAGTTTACTGTGACAAGGGCAGTAGGTGTGTGAAATATAATTTTGCCCTATCGCTTACTTAACCATATCCTCTGATGAAGAAAGTCAACCACTGAACCAATCAATTCAGTTTCTTCTGGCAGGTCACCACCTCTTCCACCAAAGGAAATTACTGATGATGATGATGATAAGTATTCTCTAGACTCTAGAACAGTTAGATTATAGAGTTGAAAACTAAAAAAAAGAAAAAAAAAGAAAAGAAAAACTGATATTAAAAGATAAATGGGTTAGTTTCTCTGCAAAAATTTAAAAAAGGAGACTAAGAAACTAGGTTGTAGATAGCAAGGGTATATTTTAAAAACTGGCTGCTATTTGTCTTATATGAGCTACATAACATAAGTGAAATTGTAGTTTGTGTAAGTGTGAAATGCATGATTATTTCTTAGTTTTTAAATGAGCTTTCTTTAGCTTACGTAAGTAGTTTAGCAAGAATTCTGTGATGACATATGTACTCTATGAAATATTCTATAAATGAGTCATGCAGTACTGCGTAGATGCAGCTAACCACAGCCCAACAGTTTTGACTAGTTTCATGTCCTGACTAAAATTTTAACTCAACCCTGTTGGTTGATCTCACAAGCAAATCAGAGGGAGAAGAATTTGAAATGCAGCTCAATTCAAAACGCTGAAGTTGGATTAAAAGTAAAATTTTTGTATTTACAAAACACAAACGACTCTTTCCCAGCGTAAGTTAAAACAAAACAAAACAACAAGCTGATGAATCTGAATTTAATGTAGGTCGTAAGGTTTAGTTAAAGACTTTACAGAGGTGAGGTCATTGCTGCACTTTATATAAACCGCAGACACCTGCCTCTTGTATACAAAGCAGTTCCCATTTTCAAGAGATAAATATATAATAAAAACACTAAATAAGTTAAAAAAGAACTGGCTGGAAAATAAATAAATAAATAGGTTACAGAAAATTAAGCTTCAAACAGAAAAACAAAACAAAACTAAAACTTGCAAGTTATGTAATACTCTCCACATACAGTATGCATTTCAGAAACTTATAGAAACATCATATTTCAGTTGAAGGCATCAATTCACATAAACAATTTTCTGTTGGTATTACATAATCTCTGGGTACACACACACAACCCACAATTTCAGTAGAAGGTTGATTATTGCAGAAAAACTTTACACAATTTGACAAGTTCCTCTGTTTTAAGAGCACACTGGTTTTACTCATCACTGATCAGAAGATTACCTTAAACAGGATGTGATAATAAATACACACACACCAGCACAGCACATATGCACACTCGAATAATATTAAGTCACAAATAAATGACAAATTAATGAATGAACCTTTCTGAAACACTGGAACAATTAAATAATAAAACATATTAAGATATTGTTAACACTGCGACTGGTATTATATTAACCATAACAAAATAAAAGGTGAATCAAATGGACCATTATGGCAAGGCTGGGATGGTCAATTTGGTAAAGTAAATCCGTTGGGCATCTTTCTTTGCCTTTAGACAACAATTCTGATGGCAAAAGAGCCAAACGGGACAGGCAAAAAAAACCAAAAAAAACAAAAAACATAACAAAATAAATAAATATTCTCAAATATAAATAATTTTGCAAATTTAAGCTACATCATATTCACATTCAAAGAAATAGATAAATAAAAGCAAGGTACCAGTAAATAATTAATATATGGCCAAAGAGACCATTCTGAAATGCACAACTTTGAATTCCCTGTCAAAACATCATCAAGGGTTAAAAAGGAAACCTTAACCGTGACAGGAATAGCAGAGAGGTGGTGGATCCCAGATAACAGAGATATTTTCTCAGTCTTATCTGTTTTTAGTGACAGAGTGTCTGATTAACTACCGTCAGCACTTGTTTGGACCATTCCGTCAGTCTGACCGCAACACTCCATACATAAATTTTTTGTTTGTGGTGATCGGTTAACTCTCGGGGTGGAGTTGGGGGAGTGAAATCGAATGGTCCGAGCATAGTCTTTATCATAATGTTTAAATTTTCTAGTGTTTTTTCAACGCGCTCTGTTTTATTAAAAATTTCAACTGGGTACCTCAAAAGTTGTTGGTGATATTCTTTGGCTTGTAAAACGTGTAACTTAAAAAGCTCATTCTTGATATAGATGTTCTGCAGCTTCTCACAAGTGCTTTCACCAGATATCTGGGTGTCAGGAACTTCAGGTCGTATTGTCTCATTCCTTTTTCCATATTTTTTTATCTGTAGGTTAAAAAAAACAGGTAGAATTCACCATAAAACTGTAAAACTTGTAAAATTCTTATTCTCTATTCAAATAAGAACAGAGCCACTTGATGCTTCAGCCTTGCACTGAGTTTTGTGACACGTTCATACAAGTAATAAGAACAGTCATGAGTGAATAAATGTAACTAAATACACTTTGGAAAAAATAATGTGCCGTGTACGTCGTCAACTTGTCTATTTTTGTGCTCACAAACAGCAGATTCACAGAGACATGACGGATTCATGTCATTCAGCATTACTAATTTAAGATTTATATTTATATACTTCCATAAGTTGCAACCCCAGCAGGTTCTTGCACTAGTAGTTTAGATTAAAAACACACAAGTAAGACACTAGGCATTTACACTGAGGGGCCTTTGAGAGTACCGTTATGTATTGGCTACTTAAGCTCTTACTGACTACATCTGTTCATGCAAACATCCACTATACATCAGTGAGCATTTTAAACATTTTCGACAGACGCGTTTTAAATATTACATGAAGTAAACTCTAGAGTTTAAAACCATTTTAAACAGGCTTTCTCTGAGGACAGACATGAGGTGAAATGTCATAAAATCAAGACTAAACTCTGGAAGATGATTGAGATTAAATATGACATATAAGATTTGGATCAATTTTGCAGCAGTTAGGTAAAGTCTACAGAATGTCCTGTGTATAGTTACAGCAATCATGCAAAGAGTATATGACAGCAGATTAACTAGATGGTACTTACAGATAAATTCAGTAGCTCAGTTGCTTCGAATTTGAACAACTTGGCAAGGTCACTGGTTCTCTTCAAATGATCACAGGAGTTATTAGATGGACAAATCGGAGCAGAAAACACAGGACTCCACTGAACTTCCAGGAAGATCAAGAGGATTGCTGAAGAAAAACAAAAACAAATGGAATTGGACAATGTTCTCTTAAACAAGAAATTGTAAAATTACCAAAATAATGCAACCAGATTAAACGAGTAGTATATGAGGCTTCCTGATGTAATGATGAAACTATGTAGTATCAGTTGTATTTGTTGATCAAATGGCCTAACCATGTCAAATTTGTGTTTGTTAAATAATAATAAAAATATATATTTACCATAGTGCAAGAGAGATCTATTGAGTTTAGAACCCATAGTAGCAGTACTAACTCTTATCCTCAGTGGTCCGTGATAAACCATACAAAACAGCAACATGCAACTTTGCTTTGGTAGGCCGGCTTAAATTGCCTTTTAGGTACACCCACATTCACCTCATACAAAGAAATTCCATGACAAATTTTTTTTTAACATCACTCACATTATTACATATTATTGGATCATATGATTTCATAAGAGGTGTGACCATGGTCAGATAGACCTCAGATAACTAAAATCCTCAAAATATATCAGAGCATGAAAAACATTCCATCTGCATGCGATGTGGCTTGCATTATATAGGCCAGGTTTTTAAACAGAAGTTGGATAACACGGATAACGCTCAACAATAAACCATTTGAAAGTTAACACAGGAAAAAGAAAATCCCATTTAATTAAAATAATATATTAAAACTTTGACAAAGACTCATTAGTACCCACTTCTGTTTAAAGGGGACACAAGTCAGAAAGGTAGGGAAATATTGTGTAAATAGGTTTGATTAAAATTTTTTTTTAAATTTATGTCTTATTAAGGACATTAACTGCATCCAGTATATGTCAAGTAAAAAGAAAATCGTATTTGTCTTTTATGTTTTTCCGATATTACCTGCCCATCATGGTTTTATGTAACTTCCAACCACAAATTTCCCTTTATGACTGAAGCTTTAAGACGTCACGCAGACGCCAATCTGTCAGACAAGAATAGACTTAGCCTGCTTTCGCAGAAAAGCATGGTGCTGTGTTTGCGGCTATGTTGCTGCTGGTGTTGCTTAATAAAATCTCTTACAGAGAAAAAGAAAAACCTTAAAGAAGAGGTGGAGAAGAAGCTCAAAAGCTGTCTTAAGCAAAATTGTTGTTTCTTTTGTCGCATTTTCTTCAACTTTTCTTACAAAAACAGTAAAGCAGGTGTATAGTTCAGTCAGTGATTAACAAAAATGATCAGAGCAAACCTGCAACAGACTCTCTCTCTCTCTCTTTTTTTTTGTACCCTTTTGCTAGGAGATCTACAGATCAGCCTTCTTTTATTTCTTAAGGATCCATTCTGGGACCTCCACTTTGTCTTTTAAATGTCACCTTTGGACAACAATCAGTTTAATAAATATTATTGTTTATTCAAATACACACAAGCTATGCTTTGGTTTCATCTTTGGAATTTAAACTCAGCGATGAGCATTTAAACACCAAATTCCTGCAGGTAAACAGTCAGGATTTTTGCCCAATAGCCTGTTCAATGTTGATTTGGGTTGAACTTAAGAAAATCTTCAACAAATGTGCTTAATAAGTAATTGCTCCTGTTACAGCCACAACAGGAATATCACTGATCTGAGCCCTACTGCACCTCCAGCTGGGAAGAACTTTTTAGTGTGTTGGTTTAGGTTTGTTAATACTCTTAAAATGAAAACCAAAAGAACACCACATTTCGCCTCTCAGCTGTCTCAACTGTTTCTTCAAAAAGAAACCCCCCTCCCATAAATAACTATTATCAAAGCTACTTAATACAGGCCCAGTTGCATCATGTAGGACAAATGACAGCAACATTTGTTGTCAGTACTTGTTGGAATGACTTACACCAAAGCCAACATGGAACTTATTTTGAAGAACTTTTATTAACTGAAGCAGCACAAAAAGAATTTTACTTCAAAATTGTATAAAATGCATTTGTACCACCGAAAAACAATCTAAGTGATATTAGCTACATACAAAGTTTATTGTGCAAGAAAAACAAACAAACAAACAAACAAACAAAATAAGACATAGTGTTATTGACCTCAGGTTAAGAAATGCTGACCCATTATTTATTTATTTATTTAAAAAAGGAGAAATGGTCGCCCCCTACAGAGATTGTGGTAGTTTTGACACAAGAATCAACATATTTCTTCTCAAACCAGAACAAGTGAGCTCTGTTGTCAAAACCAAAATTTTTTTGCATGATAATTGTCACCGCGTTGCGTTTCAAGCTACACACTTCCAGTTGAACACAAATGAAAACAGCAATACTTGCAAATGGTCTTTAAATGAAAGAAGAAAAAAAAAATCCCTCACAAACAAAATAACTGTTGCTTTGACACGATATTATAATATAACACCACACTGGAAGACTAAGATGTGTGTTGAGTGTATTCTGGTCTATGCTGCAAAACAATTCATCTTCTGACCATACATGTCTATTATACACGCTCAAGCCCAACTTTCAGCTTGTGAAACTGAATGCTAAAGTGTGGTTGTGTCCGTTTTCAAGTGTTTGTGTACTGTGATGCGCATTTGTCAGCTTGAGGACCCCCTAAGGCTCATCCTGTGCATCCTGCCTCGACAGGTATAACAGGAGGCCTCGCATACAAACTGTGTGCACGCACCACAGAAAAGCGCTTGCGGTGTTCATGGCAAATTTGTAGTAGTTAATACTGCTAGCAATGCAGTCTTAATCTAGGCACAGAGTTAGTCTCCTTCTTTGCTGGCCTGACACCTCTAGCTGTTAGAACTGGAGCAAGAGGACATAAAGAGCCAAGATCATCAAGAACTATCAGTCCTTCAGAAATCAGCTGGTGGCTGGTTCGTTCCTCTGGTGCTGAAGCATGTCTGTCACACTGACTATGTCCTCTTCAGGGACCTAGAAAAAAAAATTTAAATACGTATTATTACATTTATTGCTTGGCAACTTAAAGAACAGCTTTATTGTGTTATAATCTTATAAAGCTGACATGATGGAAATACTGTGGTTGCTTCTGTTATCTCATTTAAAAAAAAAAAAAAAAATCTGGACTCACTTTGTACAGTGTTTTCTGCTGGGCAGGTAGTATAACAACTGTTTTATTACAGTTAAATTAGCCTAATATGGATGCAGACAAGGTTAATCACAGTGCTAAGAATCAACCAAAACAGTAAAGTTACAGTTCCTAATACCAAAACATTGAGCTTACACAATGATTAACTTCCATGAAATCAATTGACATTTACTGGCCCATCTACTTTAGTTAAAGATAAAATGATTGTGATAAATTCACTGAAAAGTGCTGACCTACCACCATCTCATATGCACATGTTCTTTCACACGGACTACTGACGTACAGTGCTTTGAAAACACCACTCTGATTAATTGTTTTTGGATATTTGTCACACTTGTTTCAGATTCAATCACATTTCAACATTATGCAAAAATAACGCAAGTAAATACAAAGTGCAGTTTTAAATGATTTCCTTTATTAGGGGATAATGCTAATAATACATAATGATAATCATGCAGGAACACAACTATCTGAAAGGCACCAGGACCTCCACTCTGAATGGCTTTGGAGCGGCCTACTAAAGTCTTAAATATGACTTATGCTTTGGCTTGACTCGTGTTCGAAAACCCTCCAGTGTATTTGAATTAAAATGATTTTGCTCTACAGCAATGTGAAAGAGTCACTGCACCTCTTGCTGTGTTGTTTAACATGACTTTCATTCCTTTTCATCAGTGTAAAAAAAAAAAAAAAAATTTCTAAAAAAAAAAAAAAAAAAAAAAATGTAACGATGGCATTACCCCACTCCCCATCAAAACACCCTCTGTTTGCTCCATATAAAGGCTGCCCATTGGCAAGAAATACATCTCAACTACTACAACAGGATGACATAGCAGAAAAATATTCCAGGATTGCGATTATCTACTAATGCAAAGAATTTCTCAGAAGTGCACACGTCATTGTGACGTCACAGCAAGTGTTTTTTGTTACTTTTTTTCTCTTAAAGTTGCAATTCTTTGCTATTAACAGAACAGTGTGGTTATGGTTCACGAGTAAAGATAGCACCTGATTGCAGTGACAGAACGGAAAGCAATAGTGTTCCGTGACTAAGACTTTGGTTATTACTCCAGTCATACACCATACACCCATCCATGTTATATTGAAACATTGTACAAATATTTAAAATTTATAACCCTGTTTCATACAGAGATGGGACACTGTATAAACCATACTATAAATAAGAACAGAATAAAGGGATTGTAAAGTGTCTTCTTCAAAACCCAAGAAGTTGAATCCTTCACTGCTCATATAAACACTGTGGATAAAAACATAAAGGTCACCAGGGAAGACAAAGGATAACTGTAGCTGACCTGCATTGGCTACCCATAAAATACCGCATCCAATTTAAAATACTGCTGCTTACGTTTAAAATTACCAACAACACAGCACCGAGCTACCTTAAGGAACTCCTTAAATCGTATGTTCCTGCCAGAGCATTAAGATGGTGCAGCCTAGATCTCGGCTGAAGTCTAGAGGTGACCGGGATAACCTTCCGATTGTGATCCGGGCGTCCAATTCCATCCAATCTTTTAAATCACAGTTAAAAACCTATTTGTTTAATCTCGCCTTTCCTGCTTGTTAATGCTCGCACCTGACTCTTAGACTTACTCTATTTTTCCTTATACATATTTTTTTTTTATGGCTTGTGCTTTTATTATATTTTTATTTTGATATGCATTTTATATTACCCCTGTGTATTAGTGGCATTGACCTGTGGGTATATTTGATACTTTGCTAAGGCCTTATAATATTATGTTACTTCTCTGTCTCTTATGTTAAGCACTTTGGTATACCGCTGGTTTTTAAATGTGCTCTATAAATAAAGTTTGTTGTTGTTGTTTTTGTTTGCCATTCCTGGACTGTGCCGCGGGCATTGAAGGGAATGGAAACGTCAACCCTGAAGTTTACTGGAAGCCCAAACACACACAGACCACACACTAGTTTCAAAATGAGTTTGCGTGAAGCCTTGACTGATTATGACCTACACCAGTTTTCACACCTTGGCTCATGTGATTAGGTAGAGGATCATTAGGATGTCGATTGTGCCTCTGTTTGGGGGGGGGGGGGGGGGGGGGTGTACACTCGCATAGTTGACCCTTTTGAACTGAAGAAGCTTCTTGGATGAGAGGTGAAACTTCAAGCAACTTAAAGAAGTCCGGACACTTTTCTTTCCAAGCTCCTTAGACAACGTGTCTAAATGAAAATTAGCTCAAGATCACTGCATTTTTCTTTGCCATTCTTTAAATTTGATCCTGTGTTTGTGGGAGGTATGAGTTTTCTTTTTTTTTTTTACGTTTTTCTAATCCATGTATTGCAGGGGTGGGTAACTCCAGGTCCCAAAGGCCTGTGTCCAGCAGGTATTAGTCATCACCCTGGGTCAACACACCTGAATCAAATGATTAGTTCATTACCAGGCCTCTGGAGAACTTCGAGACATGTTGAGGAGGTAATTTAGCCATTTAAAATCAGCTGTCTTGGATCAAGGACACATCTAAAACCTGTAGGACAGCGGCCCTTGAAGCCTGGAGTTGCCCATCCCCGACGTCCTGGTTTCCAGAACCAGATCTTGTCTGTTTAAATTGCTGTGCTGCTTAAGCACCCAAAGATTGCACCTCTTCAATACCTTTATTTTTTAAGGATTTTAACTAAAATAAATAGTTGAGAACTATTTATTTCATTGGTGAATTATTCACCTATGCAGTCTTCTACAGAGTAGGGGGCCTCTCCACATCTTTAGTCTGGAAATACTGAGTCAGTTTATGTATTTATTTTTTAAATACCCAGTCATGTTACTAACCAATTTAACTAGTTGTTTGATATTTGGCCTTTCACCATATTTCATTAAATTAAAAACAACACTTTGTTGTCACACAAGGGGCAGGGATAGCTCAGTAGGTAGAGTGGTTGCCCCATGATTGGAAGGTCGGGGGTTCGACTCCACTGAACGGCTACCCTGAGGTACCCCTGAGCAAGGTACCGTCCCTACACACTGCTCCCCGGGCGCTGCATTGGTGTATAATATTATTATTATATTATTGTACTGTTCTCAAAGATTCTTAAGGTTTTCAAATCATTTCATTTACATTTTATACAAGACAGCTACTTTGTTATTTGGATTATAGCTGCAGATAAGAAGTCTAATATTGCAGTAGAGAAATGCAATTTCATACGTGGTTTACCTCAGATCTCTCTACTCACTTTACAGACACCATGAGAAAAAGCATTTCTTGCCTAAATGGGGAAACTTGGTTTTGTTGATTCACAGGCAGGTTTCTCGGAAATGGCAACAAATGAGCCAGATAAAGCTTTCTTAGTAATTTTCAAGATAATGCAGATAACTTGCTTACCAAGCTGGCACATACACAATTTCAATGCAACCGATTTTTGACAGGCACGATAATGTGCATATCAAAATGAACCTTTGGAGACACGTCAAATTTTGATGTGCTATCAAACCACATGGAAAGTACAGAGTTTCAGCATCATATTTGGAGTCAATTTAGCTACCATCACCTTCATCTTTGAAAGGTTCAGGTGTGTGGAGGCTAATACGGCAGACTGAGTAAGGGACAGGTAACCTTACATGTACATTGAATTTAAAATAAACTGTGGAGGAAAGAAAAACAAACTTGCTTTGAGAGTGTAATATAGGACTTACCTCTATAAATTTCACTTAAATGTTAAATATCCAAAAATATACTGCACAAAATATCCTTTAAGTGAGTCAACCAGTTTAAGCATGCTGAGTAATGCTTCCACGAATGACATTTATGTGACCAACACTTGGATTTTATCTGTGCATAAAGACACAGATCCAAACCTGAAGTCTTTAGACAATAAAAATGATACTGAGATATAAAACGGAGTTAAGTTTCACTTTTTTTAAAGCATCCAAAGCAAAAAGTGTAGCAGCCTAGCCTATAGGGTTTGGGATCTGACCCTACAATAGTCTTTTAGGATGGAATCGTGGTCCATAGCCTGAATAACGATTCACATTATAGACTTAGTTGAATCTATATGATCGAATTACTAGCAGCATATATGACTGACTGAACACAAAGTTTGTGCCTTCAACTCGGAAGGCAAACATCTGCATCCTGTTTTTAATGCTTAATCTTAACTCTGACAAGAAGTGATTTGCATTTCCACTGATTTGCTGATTCGATTTCTCTTCAGGATGTTACCCAATCACATTAATCTTTTGACCTCCATGCTGTCGTCTAATAACAGAATAAGTTAAACCTCCAGTATACACATTACATTTCCCTAGTTGCGTCATAACACGTTATACTTTTGCTAAGTTTGTGTGGCGTATTTATCTATTAATCACAAATGTGATCTGTTCGATTTATTTGCATAACCCATGACATGTCAGATTGAGACTGTTCATAATTTAAGGTGATCAAAATGCTGGACTCACCAGAGCATGGTCAAAGCTGAAGGTGCTTATATAATAGGCAGAGATGTCACTGTCGGCGAGAGGCTGCGATATCTGGGCAACTATACCACATTCATCTATGAAACGTAACGAGAGAAGGAGAATAAGCAGCACAATCATAATCAAACGAAATAAAAAAAAAATAATAATAATGAGGGTTCAGTTGTTTGTAAATTTAATGAGCATTTTAATTTAACAGTTTCCACATCAACTGGCAAGACTGGATATTATTTAGTATGAAACAGAAAAAACACAGTGTTGCCTGCTCATTTCATTCTCCTGTTGACAGAACAAGTTTTTGGTGGCAAAGATTATGGTAAATCAAATCAATCATAAGTCTGTTAAGCATTTAAAAACCTGATAAGTAAAAGTGGCTTCAACCATCAGGTATGCTAATTTGGTCAGCACAGTAAAACATCCGTTTGGGGACAATTAAAGGCAGGGTTTTTTTTCCCCATAGGTATAATTTATATTATATTACATTTATCCAACTGCCTGACAGGCAAACTACAAGTCGCTGTGAAAGTGTGATAGCATAGTAGTCTTTACTTCCACCAATCACCAAGTTCCTAATTACTTACCTGCCAAATCGGAAGTGGACTAGATCTGCGGTTGTCGAGATAAGTGAAGACGGATACAGCCAAATGCATAGAGTTACCTCTTGATAACACAAATGGCTGATTTTGAAACATTTGAGGAATGAGTAAAATATCGTACCGAAACCCAGCGGTTGTCCTCCTATGCGAACCATTCTCCACAGCTCCCCGGAAGAGCTGGTAAAGAGAAGATCGGCCGGAAACCTGGAGCACACAAATCAAACGCTGATTTGTTACATCAGAAATGTAGCGGGGAAAAACATCCTGTAGCAATCACCAGATAAAATACTGCAAAAGCAGCAATGCAGTGAGCTGAGAAAACATCAAAACAACTGCTGTTCAGTTTGATATTCATTATTTTTTGGACTCAATGAGGTTAAATTATCCACACTTGGCTTAAAACGCCTGCATTAAAATGATCAAATAGAGCAGCGTCAAACAACATGAGCTGTGTTGTGCCTGAGACATTAAGAAGACAGAAAACCTGCTATGAACTCAAAGCAGCCTTCAGTGCACTCACTCAAGTAAGCAAACTTTTTATGTGGCACCTATTCATGTGCAGCTCAAAGTACTTCAGACATGAAGCAACTTGAGCAACTTATAAGCCAGAATAAGACTCAGTTTGAAATGTCTGGATTCATCAAGCATGAGTTTACTTATGTGGGTTTACTTATGTGGGGGACTGAACCATGAACTAAGCTTTGTCTCTTGCCAGAGAATGCTCTGGCTGCCACCCAAAGATTAAACAACAAATATACTAAAATAAGGATTTTTCTTTTTAAAGGGCTCTAAAATATATTTTGCCTTCATGATCTGTAATGAAATTATTTAGACAATTTGTAAAATGAAACCTAAAACCTCTGAACTTAATCCTAAAAGACTTTGGAAAGTCATAGATTTAACAATTCAAACACTTTATAAAAGGCAGGTGACTTAAGAGTCATGAAGACATCAGCAAGCACTAATAAATGTTCACAAAGGCTCCTCAGGCAGGCCATGTTGGCAGATTTATCCAGACTGACAGTAACTAAAACTAAGGTCAATTCCTGTCTATTTTTATTTATTTTGTCTTTTTTCTATTTTCATAAAAGCATTTTAGTTAGTTGTAACCTTTTCTTAAGTGTATTTTTATTTTAGCTAGCTAAAATGGTTTTGACTTTACTTTAGTTTTATTCAACTTTAATAACCTCGGCTCTCAAGTCCTCTGACTGTTCAGTGGCAAAAACATATGACTTAAAGATTTAATCCAGAACTTTGGAATAACTCGTGCCAGAGAACCTGAGGGGTTATACCTGTTCATACATCGTAAGCAAGAAAGTCATAGATGCCAGCAAAGAACCATGAAGTAAATTAAGAGTGTGGGAAATTTAGATTGCTTACTGTCTCTGAGCCTCAGTGTCCATCACCAGTGAGATGTATCCATCGATGAGGGAGAAGGAGAAGAATTTAACACAATCCTGGCTTGGACTTGGCTGGGGGTCCTCTTTAGGACTGAAAAGGAGGAAACACATTAAATGTGACAGAAAGACAGTAACATTTTTTAAATTTTTAATAAGGACACCATAATAACAAACTGCGTCAGCCACACATTTATTACGGTTGTCAAGCTGTTGGTCTTACTTTAGGAGAATTATACGTGAAAACATGTTAAACAAACATATGTATGCAGAATAAAAGCAGTCTTTATCAGCCTAGATTTAGTATAAAATATGCTACAAGTGTTTTTTCGTTTCAAGCGTGTCCTAAAATTAATAAAAATACTTTATAAATTTTCACTTTAATGGTAATATAAACACAATCAAAGCAATGCTGCAAAGAAAAAAAACGAAATTCATACTACCATCAATAAAACAAAAACAAAAAAAGCCTGAACTGACTGAACTGAACTCTACTTTGAGTCTTCTGCTGCCACCTTGTGCTTTAAAACAGGTATTGCAGTGAAGTGATTAAAAACAAAAACAAAACGTCACCTGCTGGAATAAAAGAGAACATCGATGAGTGTAGTGGCAATGGACGGCAGTGTATCGGGATCCAGGGACATGACACAAAACTGGTTCTTTGGGATCAGAACCGGGTGAACTGTAGGCTGAATGGCTGCAAGAACAAGCACAGCGTTAGCCGTAAAAATGGGAAGGATTGGAATGGAACAACTACAAATGGGCATTGCACACAGGTTTTTCAGATTTTTCTAGACAATAAATTGTCTTTTAAGACAAAAATCCTTTTATCAGTGGATCTTTGTTGGTCTATGGATCTACTCTGTTACTGTTTTCTATTGTTAAAAACAAAAGTAAAAAAAAAAAATAATACTGTGGTAGCTTTTCAGCTTCTACGTGTATATTGACCTTCAAGCTCATTCATATTGTACAAACTCTGTTTTTGCCTAAAATACTGTGCATGTTTTAATAAATCACTGCACATACTTCACATTTTCCTAGCAAAATATAAGGAAATGAGGGTTAGTCAAGGCTTTTGCACAGTGCTGTATGTCCCAGTTGGTTGCTGTCTTTTCAATCATGACTTCGCTTCTCTCTGTAGCATTTTCTCTTTCTTCAGTACAGCATCGTGGCAGCACTGCTGAGTTATAAAATATCAAAGAACAGCAGTGATGCCAGCGCTGACACGGCTGCATCAATAATGACTTTGCATGGGCTCACATGGCTGCCTTACATTCAAATTGAGTTGTGTAAGGTTGCACAAATGTTAGTCTGAGAATGCAAGACCGCTCACAGCAGAAGCTGCTACAATATTTGCAGTGTACTCACTACTGCATGTGTTAGACTTTTCTAAAATAAGATGCTTGTGGAATGAAAAAAAAAACAACAAAAAAAAACTGCTTTTAAGTACTTTTCCATAGATAAAATCATTCTTCAGTTGTCGTTTAATGATTTGTGACCTGGACTGTAAAACAGTCACCTGATGACACCGGCCTTAGTGAACGTGGTGCTCTGGCATTTTAATGTCCGTACTTCCTCTGAGACAAAATTGGATCAATGAATAAATCCATAATAAATAGCCCTGTGACCTGTACCTTCTCTGCCGTTCTTGTGGAGGCCGTTGGAAACATCCTGACAATGCACAGGAACAGACTCTCCTCCCTCCTCCTTATAGATATTGAACTCCTCCTCTAGTGTGCTGACGACCACAGACAGGTCTTTCTCTTTCACCTACACAACAAAGAAATTGTTGAAAATAAACATCACTAGTAAGACAGCTTATCGATTAAACATATGCAACACCTCCTCCATAAGCATTTCATTTGTCTATAATGTCATGCTATTTCAGGATACTACACTCGCTCACTTTAAGGAAATACCTGAGCTCAAGCAGCATGTGAGACATTAATATACTTGCTGACACAAACATCTGTCAAGGTGTTATGTATTTGTGCCCACTTCACACTTTTCACATCTAATATGTAACTTTTTAGTGTCCTCAGCACTGTTGAGGATTAATCCCTTAACTGCCAAATTGGTGAATAGACAAAATGCAAACACAGGCTTCTTTTATCTGGCAAAACTCAGTAGTAGCAAAAGGTTTCAGTGCATAATTGCAGGGTGACTTTTTAAAAAAAAAAAATGCATTTAAAATTGTATTTAGAATATAAAAAATTGATCCAAATTATACAACCGTGAATAGTTTAGAGTGGCTAATTAAACAAGATGTGGAAGCTAATAAGACTGGAGTGTAATCAAGCAGAATAAAAATGGATAAAAAAAAATGTTTGCAGATTTAAATAGATGGTGCTTACCAGGATGAAGTCAGTCTGATAAGTGGAGAGCATGAAAACAGAGACATGCTGCTGGGCAAGGGGTGCAATGACCGACTTGGCAATCTTAGTCACGCCAACAGCCTGAGAGCTGCTGGAGGCACTGCCATTAGAGACCACGTTGAGTGGCAGCCAGATGGCGCTCTCTACCTGGAGGTGCTCAGAGGGCCGCAGCTCTAAGGGTACAAATAAGAGTAAAGATGATTGGTAAGCAAAAAACAAAAAGATGCATAGATTAAAAAAGAAAACAAAAAAAGGCTAATATTAATTGAATACCCTTGGCTACTGTTTATTTCAATGTCCAGCAGGACCCAACTACATATTAATACTGTTAAAATGCTGCTGATGTACTACTCAGGCTGGGAAAATGTTGCATGTTTCAGTATTCCCTTCATGGCGAGTCTAGGGGGGGGTTTCTGTAGATTGAGAAATTTGGGGTTGGGATGAACTGATAGGATGCAGTGTTGGAACTTTTAAGCAGAGATTTCAAAACTCAGGACTGCCTTGGTGCCACAGATTTTAATAATTCACTTTTAAAGAAAATCTGTCCTACTTTTGTGGAAGTGCTTTGACTTAAGAGGCCTAGATGCTGTTTAAAAATTACCAACATGGTGGCTTCCATTTACATTTGTTGCCATGTTTTTGTTTTACCAAAAAAAAAAAAAAAGAAGAAAAAAAAAAAGAACTTATCTATAAGAAAATAATAATGATGCCACTGTCACACTAATAGGAAACCAAGCAAATTTTCTCATAAAGCTCAATCTGCAAAAAAGTGCAAAACTTTCAGAAGTTGCAGCTGGCAGCATAGCCGTTGAAAACACACTGAGCGTACATGTTGTGTAAATATTTTACATTTGATAAATATTCAAAATTCTAATAGAGCAACCGCACAGCTTCTCAGAGGATCAGTCATGAGTTCCACAAACAGTAGCAGTTTAATCTACTTTAGGATCAAGTGCAGCAAAGTGGATTCTTAAAATGTTGCTGCTGTTGATGTATCTGTATCTTTGTGAGGCTGCAAACGAGGCGGTGTTAAAAGATTACTTCCTGTTGCTTTTTCTGCTCTGTACACTGAACCCACACTTTCTCTCTCCCACCTGCTCTCTACAGCACTACAGCAAGTGCTTGATCATAGAGTGGGACTTACTACCAGTGCTTTAATGGGGCAAAGCTAAAATAGATGATCCCTCGCAACGCATGTCTGTAACTTAACTGGTAGTGGCAACCTCTGGGGCTAATGTGGAAGTGCCGAAAACTGTAGTAGCCACTTGAGGCGGGGCCCACACAATTTTTACAGCCCAAAAGTTTTACTCTCTAAAGCTATTTTGCATTTATATCAAAATTAATATGGCTTGCCGTATGATCAGCTGTCTAATAGACAATCTAATAAGTGTTTGCTCCAGTGGAAAACTGTATTTCCTTTCATTTGTATGTTACTTAATGCTAAAAAGCAGGCATCTGTTTGCACAATGCACCCATCCAGGCTTACTAGCGATAGCTCATAAGGAATTCATCCTGTTGTTCAAATATGATTACAACCCCCTGCAAAAAACAAAAAGAAGGTGGAGGCGATCATGCAAAGGGCTTCAACAGTGAGAATAAAAAAACAAAAACAAAAACAACAACAACAAAAAGCCCACCTTCATGGCGGCTACAACCATCTTTTATATACAGTCTAGATTTTTCACAAATTCACACTACCCCTGAAATTTTCTCAACATTATCACAATGAGCTTTATGCAAGATCACATATATCCAATGCAGTTAGATCATACGCTAAGTAGTCTTTACTTACAGTCCTTGCAACGTTCTGCCCACGTAATAGCAACATTAAATGTCAGAAGAATTCACAGCAACTCTGTGGGCACGCCTTACCCAGGCAGCACTCTTACATAAACCTGCTTTGTGACAAAAAGCAACTGAATACAATGTCTTGACTGCCCAGAGTTCATGTGCAATAACAGCTTAGGCAGAGATACTCAGGTTACAAGTTTGGGAATTGCATGTTGTAACTTTTCATCTTTATGCCAAACCCTTCATAAACTATTTATAAACATTTAAAAAACAAAAACACATCCATGAATGTTTTTTGACATGCACGTTGATTTGAACTTCGGGAAACCTTCACAACGTAAAACATTACTAAATGTTGTCTACCTCCTGCAGTGAATATTCCCCTTTCTGTTTCTTTATACCCTTCAAAAGAAGCAATGTTCTGGTCGCCATAATTTGTCACAGGAAGCCCCTTGCGGCTTCACTACACCAGCTTTAACCTCTTAAAATAGGTTTTCCGTCAGAAGGAGAGCAAGAGAGGAGAGTAATGGAGAACCCCGAGGCGGTACATGCCTTTAACAACTACATTTGTGTTAAAGGACGAGACAAAAATGGCAGCAAAAGCACTGGATGGGATCAGAAAGTTGTTTTTCCAAATGAACTTCAACAATGTTGTGATAATCGGGTCCAGGCATTGTCTAAAGTTGGATTTTCTCACAAGTAGAACACAATGGGAGATTTTGTTTTCACTACTTGAAACACTTCACATGGTTTAGCTGAGAGGTGGTGCCTAGGTAGAGCATGTAAGAGGCAGGACACATGACGTCCATTCGCTTGCACTGAACTCTCTGGACAACTGGTCTATTCACAGATTCACACGGGCTCGTTCTGACATTACAAAGACTTTGTACTAGAGATGGCAGCAGGTGCTGTCACACACACCTTCTCTGCGTGATGTCTGGAAAAGTTCATTGCTGCGTTTCCTTTTTTAATTGCTCTAACAATTTATTTTACACAAGATTCTACTTGTTCTACCAAGTTCAGCAAAATAAGCTGAACTTTTTTCCCCCGGAAAGTTGCATTAGACCACTGTAGGTTATGTGGTGCTGTGCATTTCATCATCAGATGGTAAGTGTGAGGCTCTGTGCAGGCATCTAGGCAAACCAAACGACGACTCGTCCATGGACTACCTGTCCGTGTATGCAACAGATTATACTCTGCACAAAGACAACAGCCTTATGTGGTGGAGTGGTTAGCACTGTCGCCTCACATCAAGAAAGTCTCTGGTTTGAACCCTGGCTGGGTTCTTTTGTGGGTTTTCCTCTGGGTACTCCTGCTTCCTTCCACATCCTAAAGACGTGCATGTAAGGTTCACTGGTAAATCTAAATTGGCCGTGGCTGTCGGGTTGATAAAGTGCTTAAAGTGAGTAGAATAAAGTGCTATATGAATGTATTGTTAAGATGTGGCAGGGAGTTTAAAGCACTTTAGTGATGCTTTATACTGTCAGTCCTTCTTTCCTTCACTGATATCAGAGATAAATTAGATCATCTCCTGTGAAACTGGAAGTATGGCAAAGTTGCATAAGCTCTTTGGGAGGCCACGAAAAACACTTTATTTGCTTGACTGACATAATTTAAGTTTACAAGACTTGTTTTCTTCTCATTGTATCTCCACAGTTTTAAGTCTACAACCATTCTACCGTGTGATATCTGTGAAGCTGAACAAGAAAGGAAGGAAGCAACATTAGACCGCTAAAACAACACAGCCCTATGTTGTGGACCAATTCAAGAATACATACTAATTCCAAATCGTGTTTTTACTGGAATCGGCAGTAGCTTCCTTACATTCAAATCACTTTTATTGTCACATCACATGTGCAGGTACATTGGTACAGCACATGTGAGTGTTTATCAGACCGTGTCTGTGTGTTTTGCCTCTTTTTCTCCTAAATTTTTACATTATTGGTAGATTATTTTTCTTCTGATAAGGCTGGCTGACAAACAGATATGCTACAAAGATTAGACATAGCACACATTTATCGATATCTGGACACAGTGTTCAGTTGGTACTAAAATGTGGAAACATAAACCCCCTGCCAAATAGAAATGCAAATGAACAAGGGTATTATACCTTTGAATCCTTCCTCGTCAAGGACAACTGTGTAGTTCTCTGGAGTCTCAGTCAGACTAAAGAACTTGCATCTGAAACAGGAGAGGAGGCACAAAATTAGAAAAAATGAAAAGTAGGAGATGACAATAGGGGAAAGAGAAACAGGAAAAAAGGCCATGTTATTCATTTGCAACCAACAAAAGGAGGTTCAATATATTCCTTTAACAAGTAAATGGAATTTTTCACCAATATGTACATGGGGTTCAGGACTGGATGTCCTTTAATTATCACAAGCCTAAAGCTCTATATTATGCTTCTATCACTCCATTGTCTATAGCAAATGGAGGGGAAACATACCAAACTGGGGCACTGCTTTGGCTGACAAACGCTCCTTTCAAATAATGTCTGGGCAGCACAGTTTAAAAGGAGATATGTGAGCTTATAAAAGTCACTAGATTGTTTATACACATCTATAATTAAATTTGTTTTTCACAACTGGATGAACCATAGGCAACAGTTTACATCTTTATGGTATTCTTGAAGCTTGTTTTAAAAAAAGTGTGAGTTTCATTAAATGTTTGAAAACGGTGTCGTTTTGCCTGCTGATACAGCCCAACAGGGTTAACAATTTTTGAAGAAAAGAGCAGCTGGTATGAAACAAGACAGAACATTGATGACAATTTATTGTAATCTCTTCACCAAGCTTTGAGCTATTTGTTGTAAAAAGGCAGACTCAGTGGCTCATGTTCAGTCCTACTGAATGGTGTCTCTGTGAAAAAACAAAAACAAAAAAACACTAGGCCAATAGGATTTTGTGTGGTTTGACAGAGGAAAAAAAACTCAACAATCTGGTACGTTCTCAAAGAACATACAAGTAAAGAATACAAAGGGAAGCTGATAGAACTGATCTGTGCATAACTCTGTCTATTGTCTACTTAAACATTAATATGAACTTTGACAAAACAAAGCAGGGTTTCGTTTTTCACTGGCCAGGCTAGACTTAAGATTTGCACTTCTTTAAAAAGAAAAACAGCCACAGTTCACACTTCTGATGTGTTGAGTTTAAACTGTTGTCATTTTGTTTCATATCTGGTGCCATTCTAGACTGGAGGGCTTCTAACACTTACAAACATTTCTGAAGTCAAGCTTGACTTGGGGATGGAAACACAGGTAGCCTGGCTGTGTCCTTCAAAGCTCAGCTGATGATGTTTGTCTCACAGAATGTAATGTGATAGTAAACACTGTCTTCTAGGCTGCTATAGATAAACTTGAATCTTCATACTGAAGAGCCAAATCTTGGCATATATATTTACCAACCATTTTATTAGGTACACCTTTTCAATTGCTAATCAACACAAATGTCTAATTAGCCAATAATTTGGTAGTAAGTGTATGCATTTAGCAATGTCATCAAGTTCAAACAGAGCATAAGATTGGTGATTTATGGGATTTTAAATGTGAATATTTCAGAAACTGCTGATATACAGGAATTTTCCCACAACACTCTCTCCCAGAAAAAAAAGAAAAAAGAAAAAAGAAGATATCCAGTGAGTGGTAGTTCTTTGGATGAATAATGCCATAATTTGGTGTAAACAACATGAAAGCATGGATTCATCCTGCCTTTTATCAACAATTCAGGCTCATGATGTTGGTGTAATGGTGTGGAGAGTGTTTTCTTGGCACCCTTTAGGCCCCTCTACTACCAACTGAACATCATTTAAAAACCACAGCCTACCTAAATATTGTTGCTCATCATGTCCATCCTTCTATGACCACCAAAGCTCAAATAATTTCAGACTCGTTTCTTGAAAACTGAGGTCACTGTAATCAAATGGCCTCCACGTTCACCAGATCTCAATGCAACAGAGTGCTCTGGAATGTGGTAGAACAGGAAGTTCACATCATGGATGTACAGCTAGCAAATCTGCAGCAACTGTATGATGTTATCATGTCACAATATGGACACAAATCTGAGGAATGCTTCCAGCAGTTCTGAAGGCAAAAGGGACAAAGAGGTACACCCAATGAAGTGCCCTATGAGTATACAAAGCAACAAAGGATTAGGGGTTGATATTTCTGGAATTTCATTAAACACCAATATTATTACTGATTCTTCTTCATAACACTGATTTTTTAAAGTCAATATTTGGTCACTATTTAATGTCCTGTGTTGAAAAAAACAAAAACAAAACAACAAAAGCAAATGGCAGACCAAAGCAACTGATCAATGACCTAAAAAAACCCCAAAAACTTCAGGTGTGCAAATTCCACTGCCACAGGTCAGATGTCATTATTTTGTGCTCCTCTGCAAGTGTCAGAAAAGCAGCACTGAAAGGATTTGATAAGCTTGAAAGCATATGATTTAGATGGACTGGCAATTATGGAACCAGATTTTAGCTAGAACTAGTTAATACTTATACCCTTAAAGGGAGATATCTGCTAATAACTGGTGGATTAACAATGGGGGATAATAAACACGTTTTGCCAGAAAGAAGTCAGGCTATAGCAGGGGCCTCATTAGCGAGTGTTTTTATTTTTAGTGATGGAGAACCTAAAAGCAGTTTCTAAATCGAAGATCTCTTGGTTTCATTTGAAACCCTAACAAGGAAGTGCGATATTCCTGTATTCTTACAATGTCGCTGAAGATACATTCCTCTTCCTCTGCTTATCAGTCAGCTTAGACTACTACAGCCAAAACCTGAGAGAGACAGTCTAACTCCTGAGTCAGCAAAAAGTAATCCCTGGCATGAAATGGGACAATCACGCCACATAGACAAAGAGAGGCAGAGAGAATGCTGTTAACAGTAACTACCGGCTTTGCTAGCAAGCTCAGCCAGCCAATTGTGTTACAATACATCTCTCATTTCCTGTTGACCCCTCACCTTCCCTAGCAAGCAGTTTCCTGCAGCTAGTGTATGTCAAGCAGCTTTCCTGCAAGTAAAAACGGCAACGTTTAGTGCACAAATGAATGTGCTGTGTCGTTTGGAGCAGAGGGTGAAGACTGACTTTGTACATCCAAGTAAGCCACAGCTCAGCAACATTCTGACAGTTTGAGGGAACTATCTGTGAAACAAGTGTGCATATTTGGTTTCCTGTTTGCAAAGTACATGCAAGACAGATGTTTCACCTATACATCTATGCATTATAATGCACTAAGAAGAAAGCTGGAAAACCATTTGCACTGCATTGTTTTTGCGGTCACATGAAGACTGCAGAACTGCAGTCAGTACAGCCAAGGACCTCTTATGAAGTCAAAAGGAAGATCCAATTTGACGTCTACTGTTGTAGAAAAAGTAAAAAGTATATTTTCTTTCAGCTTCCTTCAAAGAATAAATCTGCTCAACAAAAAGAGTTATTGCTGTTCATAACTTGGTGGACACCAGTGGCACAGATCCATTTGCAGGCTTGCCACTGTAGATTCAGGCAAAGAATCTACAGTGGCAAAGCAAAGTCAGTGCCCCAAACATGTTTTGTACAGCATCCAGTAACATGGGTTGGAAAAATAAGCTTCTGTTGAAGTAGAAGGAACACTGAGAGAAGGAGATGAAAATAACTAGAAGAGATGAGGAAGCAACGGGTAGCAAGGGAGCGGCCAAGTGGGGAAGATGAAAACCAAGCACACAAGAGGTTGGACTTTGATCCAGCTGCACAAAACAACGGGTGGTAGCAGCACTTAGGGAGTGAGGGCTGGTGACGGCACTGGGCCTGCAACTGATGCTCCAGCTGAAAAAACATGATAAGCACACAGAAAACTGATGCTCAAGGGGGAGGAATGAGCCTCAAGCGACTCAAGTCCTATGATCACAGCACGACAAGTTGTCTACTACCTTAGCAACTTATGAAAACAAGATTCCTAGTTTTCTCTCGGGCTCCCCC